AATTATAAAACTCAACTTGCTGGTATATTTGAAGCAGCTGTCAATAGTATTATTTGATTCTTTTTAAATATTAATACTTTAATTTAATACTTTTTCTTTGAAATGGCAAACATACAAAGGTAGGTATTTCAAGCCAAGTATGGAGATGAGAGCAGGATGAGTGGTGCGATCTCGTAGTCTTGGTAGTGACTAAGGCCGACACAGCTGTTAATTAATAGCCCATGCAGCTAGTGGCAACTAAGGGACCTACAGTTTATAGTGGAACACGAACTACATTTGCCTTTGTATATACGAATTGGTCTAATTATTAGGATAGTACTGCGGATAGTCGTAGTTAGATATGTGAATTCAAATTAGACGTCTTCTCAAGTCTAAGATGTAAATGCGATGGTTAACCGCACTGAGAGGATTTTCTTGTTCTTGTCAGTTCCATTTTGACTGTATCCACTATAACTTGGTGACAGACTAATTTTTATGGTGAATAAGTAAACCGTTGTAGTTTGCTTGTTTATGGATATATTTGGATTAAACCTGGCAAATCTATTTATTTTATACTAAGCTATTAATATTTTACTAAAAAACACACTTTATTACCCTCCCTGTAGGCAGCAAACCTAGGTACTCATTAAACCTAATGTTATTTGAATATATTTAATTGTAAACCAAATCAGGAAAATGCAAATTAGCTTAGGCTGCAGGTTTGCTGTGGCGGGGGTATTTGTAAATATAAAGTGTGAGATAAAGAGTAATTTTTCAATGTAAAATCATAGAAAATATAGAGCCAGTATAAGTACAACTTTTCTCGTAGGTGTCCGTAGTTCAGACAGCTGCTTGTCTTGATCACACCTCAACTCAGACGTTACACGCAAGTACCTGTCCGTGGTAATGTAGAACAGACACTCTACTAATATCCTGCAATCTGTTTGCAAAAATGCAGTTAGGTTAAGCTTTAAAATTTCATATTTTATCACTTGTAAGTATAACTGTCTAAGCTGTAATGCATTATTAGAATCGCAGAATTATAAATAATCTAAGTCCAAAAAGTATAAAGTGAATTTAGTAGGAACAAAGCTTGTAATTTAGTACATGCTAGTAACAACATGAAACACTCAAATTAATGCTTATAAGTTCATGGTAAATTTTATATATTTTTTAAGTTCTGATTGTTTGTGCAATTTAAGTATGTGATCTTCAGTTTAAAAAATCAGGATCAAATTGATGAACCAAACCAGTGACAACCACTCATGATTTGTTCTATGACGCACTCTGTGTACTCAGCTTGCAGTTAACTAACTTACTAAGTTCTTCGTATGGATTTTATTTATTCAATTTAATAAATAAATTATTAATTAAATACATATAAGTATACAGAGGTGGTGAAAAGTCCCGGGACGGCTTAATCTTTTTTTAACCGTTACAGATGGAGCTATACACAAGTTGGTACACAATTACTTGGCATAAAACACTATTTTACTACAGCTTCAATGAGCCGCTACCACCTTAAATTAGGGGACGGCCCACAAATATTCGGAAGAAAATTAAAATTAAAGGTCTTAATAAGTAGAATACAATGCAACATATAGCTAAAAAACAACTAAGTAAAAAATGGCAGCCGTTTAAATATTTAAAATAACAGATTGTTAATTAAGTGACTGTAAAAACACTGGATTTAAAATACACACCATAAATAATACGATTAAAATTAGGTGGTCACGCAATATTTGTTTACAAGTGATTTTCAACATTAAAACTGTAAGAATTTGTCTTTATGCAGGTTACGAGCATTTTATTTACATTATACTCGTTAACTGTCATATCAACTTGGCAAATCATAAGGCCAATGTGAAAAATATCAACATTTCAGTATCTTAATATAAACTTAAATAAAATAAACAAGTAATAAAATATTTAATAGCAAATGGTTTGATGACAATAACCCTTGTGATTCTCTTTTCGCTACTTGTCAGATAATATTGTTAGTTGAGCTGAGTGTATAAAAATATGTAACATGCTCTCATTGTATTAGCTAACTGTACCTTTATCCTTACTCTTGATATATTCTGGTTTACAGGGAATGTGACAAAACCTTTGAAAAATGTTTAACATGAGCTTTATTTTAAACCTAAAGGGGAGGTTTAAAAAGAGAAAGGTAGGCCTAACAAATGTTTACAAAAGTTCAATATATAGCTGCTGAAAGATGGTATATGTTTGAATTGAAAGGAAGCTGATAAAACTAATTTTGTGTTGTAGAGAGTGTTTGTTGCAGCATCAAACTTTCCCCAGGAACGAGAGGAATGTATTTCACTTTGTTATACGGATTTAACATTTTATTTTAGTACGTCTTAGTAATGTATATTAGTTTAACTAGGACGGGCATTAGTTGCGCCAACTGACTTGAGTCAGGTAGTCCGGTATTCATGAATTGCGCCAACTACTACAGGGAGCCACCCGATACGTTCATTAACTGTACCAAGTGGTAGCCCTCTTTGGCTGTAGAATTAAGTAGGTTAGGTTAGGTTAGGTTAGGTTAGGATGACACGTAAAAAAGGACTTTCCTTCTGTGGGCAACTCACCCCTTTCTGGCTTGGGCTTGGTGCAATTAAGGAACTCTTTGGCGCAATTAATGCAAGACCTTTAACTATTATATGTTGAAGTTTGGGTTTTTAAGGTTCAAGCCTGGAATAGTGTTGGACATTTCTTGAGGCTAGACCTAGAGGAGCTTCCTGGTATTATAATTTAGATACAATCTATTGGTCTGTTGGTCATTGGATGTATTTGAACGTAATATTTAGGGACCGATGTTCCACGCTCAACCACTAAGCCAGTCTTTTCCCGAAAGTGTCCATGCAATTACGTAGCTTGAACTTGGATAGTACCAGTTTAATTAGGCTTTAATGAGGCTTATCAGTAAAATAATATAAAACAGAAATATATTTGTAGAGACAGTAATCAATGCCAATGGTTACAATACCCTTATGCATTACCCTTTACTCAGGCCTCAAATAGCTTTACAGTCTTTTTTTACTTTATTCTTTATTCCCAAGTAATGCATGCTAATCCAAAATCTATTATGTTATACCTATTATTTCGTATTTTATTCTTAAGTTATTCTAATGAAGATAAAGTGAATTGATGTAGTTATTTTTGCTTAGGTGTGACAGGTTGCCGAATGAACCTACAAAACTCGCACGAATAAATCATTTAATATAATAAAAATAATTTAGCTTTCGACATGCTGAATTAATTTATAATCAATTTATAAACAGAAATTACTAGCTGGTGAGAAAGAGAAAATACAGTCCCGAATTAAGTTAGGTTATAGATTTACATTCTAAAATGAAGATTGTCACGATTAATTCCATTTTAGAAAAAAGGGGGGAAAGGCGACGTGGAAATTTAGGTGACTAACCGAAACGAATTTTGAATTTAGAATAACTGGAACTGAGTGGTCTCCGTTCGTAGCCAAGTTGGCCGTGGAGGGGCACCAGCCAATCAACATTGCGGCTATGCCACGTGACGTCAGTTCAACGCTGGATAGTGCTGCTGCCTAACGATCACTCGGGGCGTTAGACACTCTGTAGTTGCACAGTTACTGAGTTCAGCAACCATACGCGTTTTACTTCTGGGAACATTGGCCTGGCCTGGCGTCGAGTCATGGCTGACGGAATATTCCATGGTGAGGCAACAGGCTGGTGCAGACGTTGGGAGGTTGAACAGTTCAATATTATAGACCCTCGTTTTATATTTGAAATAAAGCAAAGCTTTTGTGACGGTATTGACATGTTTTCCTGAGGGTGCATCTAAAAAATACTCCCCAGCTGATATGTATTGGGTCTGGAATTTTTTGGAGCCACCACATAGGCTTGGATTAAATCTAGAAAATGTAATTTAATACGGTATTATTATTTTTCTCACTGATGCAGCAAATCATTCTTGTTTATCAGTAAATCATACAAATGAAAATTTGATTTGTCTGCAGGCTTGCTTTGGCAAAGGGTATTTTATTTTATCCTATTTAATAATTATAAGAAAAGACAAACTGCCTTACAACCTTCGGAAGAAAGATCTGTTTGTTAATATAATCCAATGGAATGTAAAAAGTTGGTATAAGAAGTAAATTCCTCGTAGGTGTCGGTAGTTCAGACAGCTGCTTGTCTTGATCGCACCTCAACAGACGTTACACGCAAGTATCCTGCCTTTGGTAATGTTTTATAACAGTCTTTCTCGGTTGGCCCCTTACGACCAGTTTACATCACTCCACTTTGTAAAAATTTAGAAATATTTATTTCATTCCAACTAAGTTAAACGTAACAATAATTTCTTGAATTTAAAGAACCACAAAAGAAAATTGTCCAGGATGAACGATAAACAAGACGTTTTAAGATAAGAATTAGTTTCATTCCGTGCCAAATATAACTTCAAATGCATCAAAATGTTTGTAAACCCATCAGATAAACTTTACTTATAGAAAGAATTGTCAGTCACGTAAAGTACAGAGACCATGTAGAGTTGATAAAATTTGGCCAAAACCAAGGAACTAGAAGTTTTTGAGTGACCCTAAGTCATTTGATATTTTTCCATACATAAACAGCATACATAATATGTATGTTATTTATTTATTTATATATTTTGGTCATACATTATATGACCAGAATGTTCCCTTAGAAGATTTTAGATACAAAATTAAAAGACCCCCTTCATTTAACACAAAACATGTAAATGATTACAACCCAATTAAAAATCAATCAAAAGTTTTTCCCAACTGTATTATCACTGAACATAATGCCAGTAGTGCTTACCAGCACATGTGTACACTAGTAGTGACATTCCAATGTTCATCAGAGATGGAGTAGGAAAATTGTAAGGAGCATATTTTAAGGGATAATTATATATCGGCAACCTAAACACGTAGCATACACTCTGGATACATATAGAATATATAAGAATATCACTTGGAGACATACTATTAAAATATTAGTGTCTTCGTATTGTAATTTATTTCATTTTTGAAATATTTACAAATGAGTTAGCCATTTAACTTCCTTCTCTTGTTGGGATCAGAAGTCCCAGGTTCATCAGGTCTTGTAACTTTTACGGGTCTGCTGGGTCCCGCTCCTTTCACCCCGAGCCCAGTAATCATGTAAGTAGATCCAGATTCTGGGTACGTTCTTTTGTCATTGCTGTTATTATCAATACGAGAAGTTGTTACAAAAAGAATGTCGAGATTTTCGCCGCCAAAACACAAAGATGTTGGCCACTTAGATTTGAATAAAGGAATTGATGCCGTTTTTGTGCGAGTAGATGGATCAATTCGAATAATCTGAAATATGATTAAATAATTAAAGTATCCAACACCAATAATCAAGGTTTATGAATAATAAGGTTTTACAATTGCATATGAGTTTCGAAAGACCATGTTGTGGCATTACAACCTGTAGAATTTACAAAATCACAAAATACTTTTTAATACACGAATAAATAAAACAGTTTTAATTATATTTTGCTAAGTGGACTACAGTGCTCTTCACACATACCATAAACTATACAGTGTGTAAAAAATGTCTCCCCCCCCTATTTATTTTTTTTATTTTTTAAAATAATGAAATATCGTTTGGGGAGTGATAGTAACATAACGTGAAGTTTCTTTTGACATAGTTAAAACTTTTGAATTCCCCCCCTAAATGGGGGGTAAGGGGGGTAACTCAAAATTTTTAAATGTAAACCCCTAGCTTGTGACACCTCATTTGAAAGAGCATTAAAAAACTAGGTAAATGGTGAAAACTAGAAATTTCTATCTAATTTCTAACCGGAATTACAGCCAAAAACGCTCAAAATTACAATATTTTTGGGAAACTCAAAATTGTAATTATTGCATACACCCTTTGAGTGACCCCTCATTTGAAAGAGCAATAAAAATCAGGCTTATGTTATTAAATTAAGAAACTGTTACTTCCTACAGCCAAAAATTTCTTACAGCTAATAAATTATTATTTTAATAAAATCTTTTATTTCTTTATTATTGCAAAAGTGCAAAATAACATCTTTTGAAAAAAAGTGAAAATGAAATGTATTGGTTATCCACAACAGAGCAAGTACAAACTAAAAATTTAAGGTTATTACAATAAGAAATTTTCGTGAACATGAGTTTGTTTCATTAGATGACCTTTGCTCAGCCGGTTTTCCCTGTTTGCCCTGGCATGGGTTTCCTCAACTCATTCTGTCAATGAGCTGTTACAGACAGGTCTAGGTAAGTACTGCAGCATAAATTCAATTTCTATTTAATAATAACAATTATGTAACTATTTGATAACTGTAAAGACTTTTTTGTTCATTAAAATTCTCTAAGGTTAATAATTAATTGTTAGTTTGTTGCTATTTAGTTAGTCAGGTTTTTTAATTTAGTTTCTTTATTCAATAGTTAGTTTTTTGTTAAAAGTTTATTAGAAATTTTTAATAATGGCTCGAAGCAAAGACGATAAGGTGGAAATGGTTTTAACTTTTGGTGCCTCGAATGAAAACTACCACGAGACAGAAAGGAGATTCAACGAAGCACATCCTGATCGACCAGTGTGTCGAAAATATTTGAGGGAACTAATTGGCAAGTTCAGACGAACTGGATCCGTAGCTAATGCTCCAAAATCAGGCCGAACATCTTTAGACGAAGAAACACAATTTGAAGTTGTGGCAGAATTTGTAGAGGATCCTCAGCAGTCGACTCGATCAGTTGCTACACTGTGTGACTTATCCCATCAAACAGTTCGAAATATTTTAAAGAAAAATAAATTTCACGCTTATAAATTTAAACTTGTCCATGCATTAAACGACGATGATCCAGACCGTCGACTTCAATTTTGCGAAGAAATGGAAGAACTAATCAAAGCTAATCCACATTTCGTGTATAATGTAGCTTTTTCAGACGAATGCACTTTTTTTGTTAATGGAACTGTCAATAAACATAACTGCAGATACTGGGATACTGCAAACCCCCATGTTTACCGAGAATCCTCAACGCAGTACCCAGAAAAATTAAATGTATGGGCTGGGATGTTGGGTAATCATATCCTAGGACCATTTTTCATCGATGGCAACCTCAATGGAGAACATTATTTGCAAATGCTTCAAGAGTCGGTTTTTCCAGCCATAGTGGAAGTTATTGCACAACATCCACATGAGTTTGATGAAGATATTGTTCACTTCCAGCAGGATGGCGCTCCCCCTCATTTTCATCGACAGGTCCGAGCATTTCTAAATACACAACTGAATGGTCAGTGGATTGGCAGGCGTGGCCGGATAGAATGGCCAGCACGGTCCCCCGATCTAACACCTTTGGATTTTTTTCTATGGGGGTTTATTAAATCGACAATTTATAAAACTCCCGTACAGAATATTGAAGACTTGAGACACAGGATTGTTGAAGCCTGCAGAAAAATCACTGAGGAAACATTCCATAACGTGAGGGAAGAGTTCACGTCTCGTTTATTTTACTGTCAGGAAGTAGGAGGACTTCAGTTTGAACATTTGCTGTGAATTTATTTGGTGAACACAACATCGCTACTGTTATTTCGCACTTAAGGTTAGTTTGTTTGTAAAAATCATAAAAAACCATCTAATTACCTGTTAGAAATTATTAATCCTTATCATTGGCCTGATTTTTATTTATCTTTCAAATGAGGGATCACTCAAAGGGTGTATGCAATAATTACATTTTTGAGTTTCCCAAAAATATCGTATTTTGAGCGTTTTTGGCTGTAATTCCGGTTAGAATTTAGATAGAAATTTCTAGTTTTCACCATTTACCTAGTTTTTTAATGTTCTTTCAAATGAGGTGTCACAAGCTAGGGGTTTACATTTAAAAATTTTGAGTTACCCCCCTTACCCCCCATTTAGGGGGGGAATTCAAAAGTTTTAACTATGTCAAAAGAAACTTCACGTTATGTTACTATCACTCCCCAAACGATATTTCATTATTTTAAAAAATAAAAAAAATAAATAGGGGGGGGAGACATTTTTTACACACTGGAATAGAGTGTAAGGAAGAGACCACAGTTAGTTATGATTTGAAATCCATTAGTGTTTTTACTTTTTACTTGTTATTAGTAATTCATCAATACACTAACAAAACTAAGGTGTAGGGTTTGGATATGTTTTGTATTATGTCCTAGCCTTATAATTAATTTAAGAATTTGTTTAACGCAGTATATTTTTTATTTTTAAATAAAAAAAATATATTATTTAAAGTAGTAAGAATGCTTTGATTGTGGTATTTATTGATTTTAGAGTACAGAGAATGAAGTATACAGTTTTAATATTTCTTTGTTGTTAACTTGTTGCAAAAATAATAAATACCCCCGCTGCAGCAAAGCTAAACGATTGTGACTAAACGAATATAAATTATTTTGACTAATTGAATTTACACTAAAAATTTTCCTTTAAAATATCACATTTGTTCCCTATTTAAATAGCATTAGTTTAAGGAGTACTTAGGTTTGCTGCAACAGGGAGGGTAAGAAGGTGTTTTATTATAAAATGTTAATAGTTTAGTATGAAATGAATGCATTTTCCTAATTTGATCAAAATATGTTCATAAACAAGCAAAGTACAACAGTTGACTTATTCTTTATAATAATAACATGGGAATTTTAAATTTACAGATTTTTAAAATTTTCTTCGTAACCATTATGTGCATAATAACACTTCAATATACTAAATTATTTGTTTTTAAGCAAAAAAAAAATGGTTTGGAAAGAAATCGCTAAATTTATGTTTTTAGGGTAAAAAATGAGAAAACCCAATTTTTACCCCATAAAAAACTCCATAACCCCCCGTTCCAATGGTCCGATCATGCTGGTTCACGAACTCATTCGAACAAAATGTAGGTTTAAACGTTTATACAAAAGATTTGATCATTTTCGCTCGAGTTATCGTGCTAATAAACACACACACATATATATAATATATATTAATTTGAATGGTTGGTGTTTTTAGCCTATAGTGACCTCAAAAAGAAAAAGTAAATCAGTCCCAGGTCCAGGTCTTACTATGACCACTACGGTAATAGCTTATTCCCTATATGGGAAATTTGCTGAAAATTCAGTTTGAAATAGATTTAAAACAAAATAATCAGAATGTAACCAAGAAACCATCACAATATCAGCAAGGTTAACACGTCTTTACAACTTTATTATTCATCCAGAAGCTACCTTTTGATGTGCATACACTGTGACCCACAGTTGTCCCTCATTGTCGATTGCCATTCCATTGCCATGCATCGTTATAGGCGTATTATAACTGGCATCTCCTATTTCTTCATCCCAGACTTTGTAAAGAACGGTTTCCTTTGCTGAAACACATTGGGACTTATTAAATATTCCGTTTGAACAATTATTAACCAATAAATGGAAATGTTATGTTGTTTTGTTTTTTTAACACTGGTGAGTAGTAGCCCCTAAGCTGTTTTGCCACACCAGCTGATTTGACCGTTAAGCGGAAATGACGTGTAAAGCCGGAAATGACGGGGGATTTGACAGTTAGGTACGATAGGGGTGGAAATGGCGTGTTTTATAGCGGATTTGAGCTGACAGCAAGAAGGTGGTAACAGGATACAGGTGGTAGGAGCTGGTGGTAATGGATAGGGGATGAAACAGCTGTCTGTACAGTAGTGTGTTTAAATAGCTAATACTTGTTCGTTTGCAATTGTCTTAAAATGTATTGGGCATATCAACCAACAGCTACACCAAGGTTTTAAACCAAAACACAGCTTACATGTACAGACAATAAATTGAGTTAAAATCATATTGTCGACGGAAACATTTTAACAGTAGCCTACAGTATTGTACTAGTGCCCGCGGCGGCGTGGTGCAAGGTTGTGTCACCGGCATTGCCGTGAATTAGGCTGAGGCCGTCGGTCGAGGGAAAGTGAGCGGGCAGTGGAACAAGGTCAAATGCCCCTACTCAACCTCCATGTGGATTTGTATCCACAGTTCTACAGTTTGCTTTTGGACATAGCGGCGGAGTGTTGTACGGTCCTGGGTCTATCGTTTGCATCGTTGATGCCATCGTAATACTACACCTCGATTGACTCAACAACACAAGGTATTGTAAAAACCAATTTTAATTTATATCTTATGTTAGATAGTCGCAGGATAGCTGTTTGTGGTTAAAAGATGTTTATGCAGAAATACGTTCCAAAATAGTAGATATATTTTCCCCATGTTAGTAAATATTTGTTGGTCTTAAAAAAACCTTAAGTAGTGGTGTATTACGGGTACTGGAGACCGTGACGTAAAAAATAAAGTAAAATTAAATATCGTTTATATTTTGTTAAACAGTTTGACAGATTAGACTTTGTGGTCAAAATATGTTTATATAATGGAGTCTTTAGAAAGACTGTTTTTTTTTTTTTAAGTGAATTATACCCAATTCCATGTGTTCTGACTTGTGCGAATCAAATAAATTAGTTTGCCATCTTCAACGTCAGGAGGCTTTGGCACATTTAATCGTGTCGGAAAGCAAACCTCTAAAAACTTGTTGTCATAAAAGAAAATAAACGTTTTACCATTTTCGTTTTGTCTTTGTTCTACTAATTGATAATGTTTGTTTTGTAACAGATATTTAAATGTTACTTTTTCTGTTTCTATTGGACTTACTAGTTGAGGAAGCTTCATTTCTTGACATATGGCTTCGGGTGATAATTGATTAGAATAATTTGATCCTGATGCATTCCAATGTAGTGGTAATTTAATTTGCTTCTGAAACTTTAGACGTAGTGACATTGACTTGCGAAAATTGCTAGTTTTAGTAGTAGTAGATTTCTTTAAATCTTCTTTTATTCTCTTTAGTTTATCTTGTGTGATTGTACTTGGCTTATCCATAGTTAACATCAGAACAGAGCTGGCATATGTGAACAGTCTTCGTTGAAGGTTCGACACTGAATTATGTGATGTTGGAGGTTTGGAGACTTCCTTACTTAGTAGGTAGAATTACCCGACAGTAGGGAAATTTACCCGCGAAGCAGGGTAAACCTCCCAACCGACCCCCTCCCAACTGGCTCGCGGATAAAAGAAGCGGCAGCGAACGGACTGTAGTCAGTCTCACCCAACTGGCACAGCTGACTGGTTGAGTGTAAACTGACTGACTTTTGATTAAAACCTTTCGTTAGATTTGGTCAATCTAACTTAATGTTTTAGTCAATAGCATGTGCTGCATGTTGTTTTTTTAGCTTGTATCTTAGATGGTTTTACTTTATGGAGTGCATCGTGTCTTTAGTACTTGAATTGCGCAGAGTGTTGTATTTTTCTAATCATGTGATATTTCAGCTAACAAAGGATAAAGAAGTCCCCCATTAAAATGAACAATCTTTTGTGACTGTAAATATTCTATATTTAAAATTTAAGTTGACCATTTTGTAATTAGTTGAGAGGTCCAACGGCCTGCATACTATTCTGCATTTGGTTAAATTAAATTTTAAACTTTTGTTGTCATTGGTAGTTTACTTATGTCAGCTAACAATGAACACTTTCTTGTGACTGTAAATATTCTATATTTTAAAATTTAAGTTGACCATTTTGTAATTAGTTGAGAGGTCCAACGGCCTGCATACTATTCTGCATTTGGTTAAATTAAATTTTAAACTTTTCGTTGTCATTGGTAGTTTACTTATGTCAGCTAACAATGAACACTTTCTTGTGACTGTAAATATTCTATATTTTAAAATTTAAGTTGACCATTTTGTAATTAGTTGAGAGGTCCAACGGCCTGCATACTATTCTGCATTTGGTTAAATTAAATTTTAAACCTTTGTTGTCATTGGTAGTTTACTTATGTCAGCTAACAATGAACACTTTCTTGTGACTGTAAATATTCTATATTTTAAAATTTAAGTTGACCATTTTGTAATTAGTTGAGAGGTCCAACGGCCTGCATACTATTCTGCATTTGGTTAAATTAAATTTTAAACCTTTGTTGTCATTGGTAGTTTACTTATGTCAGCTAACAATGAACACTTTCTTGTGACTGTAAATATTCTATATTTTAAAATTTAAGTTGACCATTTTGTAATTAGTTGAGAGGTCCAACGGCCTGCATACTATTCTGCATTTGGTTAAATTAAATTTTAAACTTTTCGTTGTCATTGGTAGTTTACTTATGTCAGCTAACAATGAACACTTTCTTGTGACTGTAAATATTCTATATTTTAAAATTTAAGTTGGCCATTTTGTAATTAGTTGAGAGGTCCAACGGCCTGCATACTATTCTGCATTTGGTTAAATTAAATTTTAAACTTTTCGTTGTCATTGGTAGTTTACTTATGTCAGCTAACAATGAACACTTTCTTGTGACTGTAAATATTCTATATTTTAAAATTTAAGTTGACCATTTTGTAATTAGTTGAGAGGTCCAACGGCCTGCATACTATTCTGCATTTGGTTAAATTAAATTTTAAACCTTTGTTGTCATTGGTAGTTTACTTATGTCAGCTAACAATGAACACTTTCTTGTGACTGTAAATATTCTATATTTTAAAATTTAAGTTGACCATTTTGTAATTAGTTGAGAGGTCCAACGGCCTGCATACTATTCTGCATTTGGTTAAATTAAATTTTAAACTTTTCGTTGTCATTGGTAGTTTACTTATGTCAGCTAACAATGAAAACTTTCTTGTGACAGTAAATATTCTATATTTAAAATTTAAGTTGACCACTTTGTAATTAGTTGAGAGGTCCAACGGCCTGCATACTATTCTGCATTTGGTTAAATTAAATTTTAAACTTTTCGTTGTCATTGGTAGTTTACTTATGTCAGCTAACAATGAACACTTTTAAGCTTTTGTTGTTATACCTAAACACAGACTCTTTCCTCACTACAACAGAAGGAGAGATAGAGCATGTTTGCTCCATCTCTTCTTTTGGTATTATTTTAAATGACCTTGACCTACTTACAGGACTTTGAAAATATTTTGGAAAAAATATAAAAACGGTAGTAATGGATCTTGTATATGTTTGAATCCGACCGGGCATATATTCTAGCTAGGGACCTACTATCGCTAGTTAATTTACATAAGCAGGTGCAGCGTTGTTCTACCCCCACCACTCAACCCGAGCGTATAAAAGGGCTGCGAGCAGACGGATGATTGTCAGTCTTGCACAACCGGTGAAGCTGACCGGATGGGCAAACTGGCTAAAGATGAGACCCTTAGTTTAGAGTTGGTACCACTCTAACCTAAGGTTCTTGTCACTTAGTAGTTATATTAGAAGCATGTTGATTGTAGTATTTGTTGGCTTGTAGTTAGAGGGTGTTTTGCGTATTTGTATCTTTGGTAAGGGGTGTTGTATTTCTTAATTATGTGATGTTCTATTTCAGGTATCAAAATAATAAAGTCCCTATTAGTAATTTTTTATTTTCAATTTGAGTTGATCATTGTATGTTACAAAGTTCTAAGTGACATTAGTAAGTTGAAAACGTTCACACAAAACAAAAACATGAAACCAATAGTAAATTCATGACATAGAGTTCTCTTTGACATACACACACATTTTTATGGGGACAGTTCGTTGACTGCGCTGCTCCGGCTATTGCTAATGAGTCTTTGATCAATACCATGAGGACAGTCCTTTGGCTGCGCTGCCTCTGATCAAAAAGACTGATACATTGGTCTTTAGCCAATTCAGACTTACACACAAACATGAAAATAAAACAAACACTAAGTTCCCCCACTACAACAAAATGAGATAGATGACATTCACACATTTTTATGGGGACAGTTCGTTGACTGCGCTGCTCCGGCTATTGCTAATGAGTCTTTGATCAATAACATGAGGACAGTCCTTTGGCTGCGCTGCCTCTGATCAAAAAGACTGATACATTGGTCTTTAG